ATATCGGCTTACAACTCCCACTGCATGGGCAATATCTGGTCTAGTACAGACCATGGCATACATCAAGGAGCCGATAGCTGAGGCGTATGGAATCTGGTCCATGTATCCACGTTCTAGCTCAGTTTTTGGTGACTGGTCTCTACTGAGCTTGAAATGATTCCCCAGAGGTGTACATACTGGCTTAGCATTATCCATACTAAACCTACTGAGAACCTTCTTGACATACTCTGCTTGTGAAAGTTTTAGTATGCCTTTGTCTTTGTCTCTGATGATTCTTATGCCAAGTATTTGTTTAGCAGCTCCCAGATCCTTCATTTCAAACTGTTTTGACAACTGTTGCTTTAGCTTGTCAATCTCTTCCATGCTGGAACCTGCAATTAACATATCATCCACATATAGCAGTAGAATGATATAGGAGTTGTCAAAATGTTTGACATAGCAACAATGATCAGCCTGACATTTTGTGTATCCCGTACTACACATGAAGTTATCAAACTTCTTGTACCACTGTCTTGGAGCTTGCTTCAAACCATATAGGCTCTTCTTTAGTTTGCAAACTTGACTCTCCTTTCCTGGTATTGCAAACCCCTCTGGTTGTTGCATGTAAATTTCTTCCTCCAATTCTCCATGAAGAAATGCTGTTTTTACATCTAATTGTTCAAGATGTAAATTTTCTGCAGCTACTATCCCCAGAACAACTCTGATCGTTGTAAGCTTCACAACTGGAGAAAATATCTCAGAATAGTCGATCCCTTTCTTTTGCTGAAACCCTTTTACAACAAGTCTTGCCTTGAACCGTTTGCTTCCGTCATGCTCGGTCTTTACTCTGTAGACCCACTTGTTTTGCAAGGCCTTCTTTCCTTCAGGCAGTTTGCTTAACTCCCAAGTCTTGTTCTTCAGCAATGACTCCATCTCGTCCTTCATGGCTAACTCTCACTTGCTCGAGTTTCCATCTTGTAAGGATTCTTCATAATTTAATGGTTCACCACCATCGGTCAGCAAGATATAATTCAGTAGAAGTGTGAACCGTTGTGGAGGCTTTATAGTCCTTGAAGACCTGCGAACAGTTGGTTCACTTGGCTCTGCACTATCTTGTGTAGAAGTGGTGGGTACTGAAGTGCTTGAACTGTCTTGTATGAACTCTTGAGTGGTAACATCAGGAAGCCCTTCTAATTGTATGAATTCAGATTTATGTGGACTCGTATCTGAATCAGTTATCTCTAGTTCTGTACTTGATTTGTCTTTGTACAAAACTTTCTCGTTGAAGATCACGTTCCTGCTTCTGATAATCTTCCTGTTTTGATCATCCCAGAACCGAAATCCAAATTCTTCATCTCCATAACCAATAAAGAAACATTTCTTTGATTTGGCATCCAGCTTGTTGCGAGCATCAGAGTCTACATGCACATAGGAAACACACCCAAAGACTTTTAGGTGAGCAAGCTGTACTTCTTTTCCTCTCCAGACTTCCTCGGGCAGTCTGAACTCCAAAGGTACTGATGGTCCACGGTTGATCAAGTAAACTGCAGTATGAACTGCATCAGCCCAGAATGTTTGAGGTAGCCCAGAATGCAACCTCATGCTTCTAGCTCGTTCATTGATGGTCCGGTTCATCCGTTCAGCAATACCATTCTGTTGTGGTGTGCCTGGAACTGTCTTTTCCATTCTGATACCGTTGACAGCGCAATACTCCTTGAAACCTCCATCAATGTATTCTCCTCCATTATCAGATCGTAAGCATTTCAGCTTCAAGCCTGATTCAGTCTCAACCATAGCCTTTCATTTCTTGAATGTGTCAAACACATCAGATTTATTTTTCAGAAAGTAGACCCATACCTTTCTGCTAAAGTCATCAATAAAAGTGACATAGTACCGAGAACCGCCAAGAGATGCTACTGGAGCTGGTCCCCATAAATCTGTGTGCACCAGTTCTAGTTTTCTTGGTCTTAAGGTCCTGCCAACCTTTAAGAAACTGAGCTTCTTCTGTTTTCCGAGAACACAGCTTTCACAAATGTCTAGATCAACATTTTTTAATTCTGGCAGCTTTCCCTTTGACTGAAGTATCTTCATCCCCTTTTGACTCATATGGCCGAGTCTACAATGCCATAGCTGCGCCTGATTTTCTGCTTCAGTAGAGGCAATTATATCTGCTGATCTTGTGGTCATATACAGGGTGCCGGTTTTCTTTCCACGAGCCAAAACCATTGCTCCCTTTGATACCTTCCACATTCCTCCAGAGAAAAGGATTGAATGGCCACTATCATCAATTTTACCGAGATCAACTTCTTCTTTAGTTCAGGAACATGCCTTACATTTTGCAAGTTCCATGTAGATCCATTCATTGTCTTGATTTGCACATCTCCTATACCCACAATCTCCAATGGTTGTCCATCGGCCAGATAGACTACCCCATAATTTCCAGCAGTGTAATTTTGCATCATTTCATGGTGTGGAGTACAGTGAAATGAAGCTCCAGAATCAAGAACCCAATCATCAATAGGACTATGTACAGCAAGGATCAAAGCATCTTGTACCTCGTTTGTAGTGGCATTTACAGAATCAGCTTCAGGTTTCTTTGGTTTTGTGCAACTCCTCATAAAATGACCAGGTTTGCCACAATTCCAACATTCAACCTGTTTCCTGGGTCCAAACTTGCTTTTGCTTCTGTACCTGGATTTTGATCTGCCTCTGGATAAGCCTCTGTCTTGTCTCCTTCCTCGAGTGTTGATGTTGAAAGCTGAACCTGAACTTGAGCTTTCACCCGAGTCTTTTCTTCGTACTTCTTCAGCTAAAATCAGGTCTCGGATATCATCATACTTTAATTTGGATTTTCCAGCTGAGTTGCTTACGGCTGTTCTCATACCTTCCCAACTGCTTGGAAGTGAAGCTAGCAAAATAAGTGCTCGGATCTCATCATCAAACTCAATTTCAACGGATGACAATTGATTTGTGATGGTGTTGAAATTATTAAGATGCTGTGTAACAGAGGTGCTTTCTGTCATCTTCAGGTTGAACAACTTCTTCATCAAGTGCACTTTGTTATTTGCTGATGGCTTCTTATACATCCCAGACAAGGCTTCCATCAATCTTGCTGTGGATTTCTCTTTTGTAACATTATGAGCAACTCTTCTTGACAATGATAGCCGAATAATACCCAAGACTTGTCTATCAAGTATTTGCCAATCTTCTTCTGACATGTTTTCTGGCTTGCTCCCTAACAGAGGAAGATGAAGTTTCTTCCCATATAGATAATCTTCAATTTGCATTTTCCAATATCCAAAATCAGTTCCATCAAATTTTTCAATTCCTGCAGCCTTTATTTCATCAGCCATTTTTACTCTTTCTTGGATTTGAATCTCAAAAATCTGACCTTACAGATGTGTCCGGAATGGCCAAAAATGCTGGAAACGACACTGAGATCACCCAAATCGGACTTCGGATGGCTCCGATTTAAGCAATCAAAGTTTGGGATAACTGGACGCTGCAGATGAAGCCACGTGGCAGGAGGAATAGTCGCTGCGCCACACCGGATCAAAACCCAGTTATGCTGACGTGGCAAGTTGACGTGTCAGACACGTAGGCAATGTGGGGTCCACCTAATCTGACGTGGCAGATCCGCGAAGATTTTATGGTGACGTGGCAGTGGTGACGTGTCGGATGACGTGGCGGGTTGACCGGTCAGACTGCTGATGTGGCAGGGTGCACGGCTGCTGACTGTGCCGGACGGATGACGTGGCTGCTGACGTGGCATTGTCAATTTGCAGGAAACGGCGAGGAAGACGCGTGACACGCGTTGGGCGCGTCTGTGCGCGTGGGCAGTGATGATGACGGCGCGTGCAGGCGCGTGCGGGCATGCAGGACGTCTGATTTTCGCCGGGTTTTCACCAGTGGATTCCTCTCGTCGTCCTCTTCACGGTGGTATGTTCAACAAATACGTTTTGAGAACTTTGATTTTTGAGTTTGGATCAAACACCCTCATTTTCAAGAACTTTCAAGAACAAGCTCTGATACCAGTTGTTAGGAGATCCAAACATTCAAACACACACAAATTTACGTGGTTCGGCAACTTGCCTACTCCACGGAGCTACTGGTTTGTATTAATCAAGCTCAAAAGCAATACAAACAACAAAACAAGGAGGAGGAGAAAACTTCTCTACTCAACTCAACTCTCACCCTTAGCTCTCTCTCTGTGTTTTTCTCTATCTCGTGATCTGTCTCAGCTATCAATACATCTTCTATTTATAGCTGAGGAGGGAGATGATTGTTCAACAATAGGCACCTACCATTTGACTATAATTTCAACCATGGCTGCCACCAACCATGGCTGCCACCATCCATTTGTGTCCACACACATAACATCTTCCTCTCTCTCTCTTCTCATAATAAAAACTAAAAAATAAAGGAAATAAAGTTTAACATTACAACTAAATTTTAGACAATTAAAGGTATCGATCACCTCTTAACCGAAAAAAAAAAGGTGGATCAAACTAAACTTTTAAAACTAAATTTAAAGTTAATATCTATTTTTTTTATTTTTTTATTTTAGTTCTTTGTCTTTTAATCCGTTCATTTCTTAAAAAAAAAAAAAGAAAACAACTGGATATTAATTTGAGCTTAAAAGGGTGTAACAACACAAAAAAATTCAAAAATTAAATTATTTTTTTTGTTTTTTATAAATTTATATTGATTTGTGAGAGAGTGCACAATATAAAATACACAATAAAAATGAATCACCACTTAGGTTTTTTATTAAAAAAAATTGTGTAGCATATAATATAGTGTGGATAGAAAAATTTTGATCTTTCATCTTTTAATTTTTTTCAATTATATTTTTAATTTACTTTAAATTTTTAATTTTATGTATTCTTTGATATATTATTGATGACCGGATAAGGCGGATAGATACATTATGAGAATAGTCTCCATCAAGAATTAATAATAATTCAAAATGAGTGAAAAGGAACCTTTTGTAACGATATAAAGGGGCTTGAAGTGAAGTTCTAGCACTCCAGTTATCGAGTAATGGCAAATATTCAAGGAGCCTTCCTCCTCCCTTTCGTAGTCGTTGCTGGCTTGTTAGCTAGCACTCACGGTGCAAAACCAAGCCGTAACTCAATGCCCTTCAATAGGACAAGTTTTCCAAAAGATTTCACGTTTGGAGCTGGCACTGCTGCTTATCAGGTACACAGCACACACACTTTAGAGTCAGTGCAATGAACTTGTTGCTGCGTTTAATTATGCGGTGAACCGTGAGCATTTTCTTGCTTTCATATGCTTGTATTTACCCCTTACTTTTTCTGTGTTTCTCTAAGTCTGAAGGAGCTGCATATATTGATGGAAAGGGGCCAAGTATTTGGGATACCTTCACTAAACAGCATCCAGGTCCATTTCTCTAAACTTGGCTTCAATTCTCGGCTTTTATATGCCTTTTTCCTATCCATTTAATGGCATAGATTTCAAGATCGATAACGATCCTGCAATATGGTCATTAAAGAATCGTTTTACTTCTGAAAAAATATAAACAAAATTGTTTAGAAACAAATGTATATTGACCAAACCAAAATGTCCATGCAAGACAAAATTCATTTTGATCTAGGATTGATAACTAAAAAAAAGTTATTTCCGGATCACACGACCAAAGAGAGAAAGAAAGAAATGGTAAAAGAAATATTCCTGGGCAACAACAAAATATATCCTCGGATCGACACTTTTTGGAATATAGCATCTTAATTCTATGATTTAAAGCCAAAGCACAAAACACTATTACGTGATTTTAATTATACAAACTTGCCATTAATTGTCACGAGATATTTTTACAGTCGCAATTTATCATGTCCTTCTGTTTCTCTTTCAACATCTCTCTCCTCGGGGTTGTGTGGATTACAAGTCGAGAAGATTGATTTGCATCAATCTATATTAATTTTATATATTTTTTAAAAAATATTAGTTTGATAAAAAATTAATAAAATGATTCAAACCATAGTGAATCTTAATAATGTATGGGAGTGGTATTTATTATCATTATTATTATTATTATTATTATTATAAACAAATGCTGTCAAAGGTGAGATTTTGAACTAGGATCTCCCCCTTCGATATTGTACCATTAAGGTGCAAGTCCATTGGATGTTGATGGAAGCTGGTTTTCCATTAAAAAACAGAACCTTGTGACTTTTCAAGCAACAAGTACTCTGAATAAATCAAGACACGTACAAGTGATTCATAGGGAAAACAACAAAACTGTATTACCGAGACAATTACTATGAATAAATCAAGATAAGTAAAAATGATTGAATTGTATCTTTTATTTTTTATTTTTTTTTCAGTATAAATTGGTCTGGATTTCGTGTCGGCAGGTCCTGTGAGTTGACTTATTGGGTAATCCAAGTTATAAAACCATGAATAGAAATCGTATTGGGACCTAATTGATCAAAGAATCAATGCAATATTACTGAGCCGTACAACAATGTTTTTGAGGTGACTTTATGTGTGTGAAATTTTTTTTAAGATTAATGGGATTAATAAAAGAATATACAAGCTGACTGAACACTTATCTTAATTGAAAAAAAAATCTTGCTACTGCACTGAGACAATTGACATCACTTGATTTGACTAATTGGTTGAACTATGTTAAATAATAATAACAATGGTAGCTCTCTTACAAATACAAAATCTAAATTTGTTTCAATAATTGAATGTCATTATTGAATATCCTTCGAAAGATTTTTTTTTATTATCATGAAATTTGGATTTTAGTTTGTATTTTTGGGTTGAACTTGGATTAAAAATAAAAATTATGATGTAATTGCAGAGAAAATTTGGGACCATAGCACAGGAAATGTAGCCATCGACTTTTATCATCGATATAAGGTATGGTCGGTCAATTTTCCACCATGTATGTCTTCTTATATATATATATATATAAATTCCGTTTTACTAATATTTAGAATAAAATGTCGCAGGAGGACATACAATTGATGAAAAAAATTGGCTTGGACTCTTTTAGGTTCTCCATCTCTTGGTCAAGAGTGTTACCGAGTACGAAAATTACTCAAATCAATTTCTTCGGCATCACAATTATGTTCATATGATATTCATTATTGATTCTTTCGTTTTCAGAGGGGAAAATTAGTGGAGGAGTAAACCCTCTGGGTGTCAGATTCTACAACAATCTCATCAATGAGCTCTTAGCGAATGGTGAGTATCCGATATCTACCTTGCAGTACTCCAAGCTCTACCACTGATTGCTTTTGGTTTCTGATTAATGTTAATTATGCACAGGCATAACACCTTTTGTAACATTGTTTCACTGGGATCTTCCACAAGCACTTGACGATGAGTATTCCGGATTCCTAAGCTCCAAAGCTGTGTAAGATAACAATATAGGCGAATGTAATTTTAATCTAATTAGTATTGTCATAATGTTCAAAATCATATCACTAAATTAACTGGTAAAATTAATGTATTAGGGATGATTACGTTGACTATGCGGAATTTTGCTTCAAAACATTTGGCGATCGGGTGAAGCACTGGTGCACATTTAATGAGCCATACTCGTTTAGCAGCAATGGCTACAATGGCGGTACTTTCGCTCCAGGCCGTTGCTCTAACTATGCCGGAAACTGCACGCTAGGTAACTCCGGTACCGAACCCTACATGGTAGCCCATAACTTGATTCTTGGACATGCAGCAGCTGTGAAATTGTACAGGGAGAAATATCAGGTTTGCGTGCATACCTGGAGCCGTGTGTAATGAAATCCATAATTATTTCATAATAAATCATGATAAATAAATTAAACAAAGCAAAAGTGAGACTTCCTGACAAGAAAAGGGGATGCCAATGCAAGAAAAGGCTGTGAACTTAAGGGGATATTTCATTTTTAATTGCAGGCTTCTCAAAAGGGAAAAATTGGGATCACTATAGTGACAAACTGGTTTATACCAAAATCTCCAAAATCAGAGGAAGATATCAAAGCAGCCTATAGAGAACTTGATTTTCTGTTTGGTTGGTAAGTTCTTGACACTAATTTTCATCTCGCTACTTAGTTTCTCCCTGTGATTTTTCGATGCGTGCTCATCATAACGTGCTCTTACCCTTTTTCTTAAAATCTGCCCTTAAAAATCCTAGGCGGTTGCATCACATTTTGGTTATCATGATAGCAACTGTTACACCTTAATCATCACAAAACTGTGCAGGTTTGCGAATCCACTTACTTACGGAGATTATCCTGAGACCATGAAAGCTATAGTGGGACATCGACTACCCAAATTTACTAAGGAGGAATCTGCTTTGGTAAAAGGGTCAATAGATTTTCTTGGTGTGAATTACTACACTACAAATTATGCAGCAAACAATCCAGCTCCTAATAAATTCAACTTTAGTTATACTGGAGATTCCCAAACCATTCTCTCAAGTAAGCTAAGAAAATAAAATTTATTCTCATTTAATTATTTTTCTTCTTTTAAGCCTTAATATATATAAATACACTCTGAAGGGTCATTTTAATTTTTAACCCCAGCTTCCAAGGGTGGACATCCTATCGGTACACCGGTACTTTCTTTCCCAATTCTATGCTTCATATCATAATTAATCTATCACCTTCAACTGAGCCCAAATGAAAGAAAAATGGGAAGGATTTTCTTCTCTAAATGTTCCTATTTTTACACATTAATTAGTTTGTCCAGAAAGAACAGGGCGTAATTATTTGCTAAGGGAATTCTATGTTATTGTTTCACAGACAGCTTTGAATTGGCTATTCATCTATCCGAAGGGAATTTATGACCTTATGCTGTATGTAAAGGACAAGTACAAGAACCCTCCGGTTTACATTACTGAGAATGGTAATAATTAAGAGCAGCTGTGCATCTTCAATACTTTATGACAAGTGTCTATTATTATGGATTTTTTTTCTTAATAATATCCAGAGCTGATATTTTGTTGAATCTTCCTTAATTTACAGGTCTTGCCGATGCAAATAATGCATCATTGCCAGTTAAAGAAGCTCTGAAAGATGGGCTAAGAATAAGATACTTAGCTAGCCATCTACAATATCTTTCAAAAGCCATCAAGTGAGTCCTCATTCTCAGATAAATGTTATCGCTTTCTGTTTTCAAAAACAGTAAAATAGATGATTAATTGCAAACATCAAACAAAATAATTAGGTTGGAGTACACCAGGGAAGGTTTTATTTAAAAAAATTCAAAACAAATTAACTTTTTATTTTCTTTTGAAAAATTCTGGAAAGAGAAGTCACAATTTACACCAAAATAACCCTTAGGCACTAGCATTGATATTGAAGAAGAGCAGTCATGGTTTTCTTTTTGGTGCAGGGAGGGAGCTAATGTTTTATTTAAAAAAATTCAATACAAATTAACTTTTTTTTTTCTTTTGAAAAATTCTGGAAAGAGAAGTCACAATTTACACCAAAATAACCCTTAGGCACTAGCATTGATATTGAAGAAGAGTAGTCATGGTTTTCTTTTTGGTGCAGGGAGGGAGCTAATGTGAAGGGATACTATCAATGGGCATTTTGGGACGATTTTGAATGGGATGCTGGATATACCGTCCGTTTTGGCATGATTTATATTGATTTCAAGAACAATTTAAAGAGATATATGAAATACTCGGCTTATTGGTTCAAGATGTTCCTCCTACACTAAGTTGTGGAGGTTGAGTTGGTTAGCCCTAACTCGGTCATGTTAATTTGTTGCTTTATGAATGATTAGAGAAGTTTAGACGAGGAGAATCTTCCTTACAATATGAGAACGATGTCTGTCCCTCGTCTCTTGTATGTTTTCTTGTAATAATTCCCATGTTTTTTCTATGGTGTGGCTTCTACAATAAAGAAAGAGACGTCATCCTTGTGTCTTTTACGACATATGTGAGAAATCCTATATTTCCATTTGCTATATAAACTTCTCAATTTGATTGTTTTGAGGAAAAATCTGAGCAGAAAAGAATTCTATTGCGAACAAACTTTTCTTTATGCCTAAACATCAATTATTGGTGGCAAACTATGCCTAATCTCGATTGATGATGCACTTAAAAGGGCTCCCAAACTCATGTACACCCTTGCTTCCTGCATTTATCTGCTTCGATTGATTTTACTAGTGAACAACTAGATTTCCATATAAACAAGGGATAGGCCATTTCCCTCGAAGGATTTTGTATTCTACTTTATAAACCCTAAATCTGTTTAAGAGTTATTCCTCTCAAGCCCATCCTAAATTTATTCAATATTCAGTTCGAAAAGAGAGAGAACAAATTGTTCGGTATTTACTCTCCACTTCTAACTGTCCACTTGTAGTAGCGTGAATTATTCTTAATCCCCTCCAGAAGGACTTGGTGGCTTTCATCACCAAGAGTTACTTGGGGTTTGTATACCCGACTGTAATTCTTAATTTGTTTTCTCTTACCATCTTTTTGTTAAACAGGAGTTATATTCTATTAAACCCTTCTCACCTTAACCAATCCTTGCTTGATAGGAAATGAGCAGATAGATCCTTTATCAATCATATTCGAAAACGATGAGAGAAGAAATTGTTGCATCTGGTGCTTAATTTCGAGGCTTGGGCTTCAAAAATCAAGGTCAAGGCTTTCGGAGTTTATTTAGCTTCAAAAAGCCCAACATTAGCTATAAAACACCTCCCCACCTGCACACACGGCAATATGCCATGGCTAAATTTCAAAAAGCCGTTCCTAAGACGTGTTAATTCTGTCAAGTGGCTTGCTAAAGCATGGACATGGCACTTACTATTGAAGGAAATTAAGAAACTCGTTTGCCAGTCATCAATCCTATCCTTTTATTCCTATATTCATAGAGACATGCTAGTGTCTTAATGCTTATAAAATATGCTGATGTGGGACAGTACCATAGGCTTGGCAATTTTGCTGGCCTAGATACTTATCTTGCTTGTTGATCATGTTTCCATCTTTTGTTTGTTTTGCAGGGTCTGGATAGCTGGGAACCGAAATACCAAAGGTCTTAGGAGCATTATCTTTCAACATCGTTCTTAATTTGTCAGGACATGCTTTAATTAAGGTAATCTCCCACCCTATTATGTTCGGAGAATCGTGCCTAGGTCCACAAAAGGACGGGCTAATTGGTAAGCCTTTATTTTCGTACAATGTGGACTTTGCTAAGTTTCTCTTTGGAAGTGATTATTAATGAATCTCGTTTACGTGTGTGAAAAACCTGGCCTCAACGAGAAGAACGTGTTGTAATTCACTGATATGTGGATGCTTTTGAAGTTAGTCAATTAATCGTTTTTTGAACTTGGCTGCGTGAAAAATTCAAATCACGTAGAGGTTGTGTTATATAAGGGTCATAAGACCTCATTTATGTATTCTCATAACATTTCATAGGAAATGTTCATATCACGGATGTTTATCTTCTTATATTTGTAAGTGTTAAAACTCTCTTAGTGGCCAATCAAATCTTTCATTGTATTAATGATATGTATTATGTAAAGGGTACTTGTCTACGCTGGAGCCTCACGGTTCTTGTGCATGAAGAAACTGCACCGCTGGAGGAAGGGAAAAAACTACACCACACGACTTTTGCTGCTGCAGCTTAGTTTTGAGGAACACTCTTCTCTGTTTTGCAGCTGCCTGTGGCTGGAACCATTGGGTCTTCGGGTGCTCATGGTAGTCGGCTGGGGAAGAAAGAGAAATATTGCGGATGGGGGGAAAAGACCGTGTGTGTGGTCGGTTTGAGGGATCAATCGATCACAGAAAAAAGAAGAAGTGAAAGGGCGGTCTGTGTATGGGTTTCCCTGTGGCTGAGGATTGATGGGTGGACGCTTGTGTTCTTGGTGAGGAGGCTGAGATGAAGGATGATGGTTAACGGGGAGAGTGAGAGCAGGGAAGAGAGGTTGAAGGTCGGTGAGTCGGAGGGAGAAAGACTTTTTATTTTTATTTTTTTATGAGGAGTTACAACTCCTTGGGGTTGAGATTGGCGGAAAGAAAATTGATGAATGAGGGCGTTTAGCAGCCGGTTTGGACCAGGGGAGAAGAGAGGAAAAGGCAGGGGGAGGGGGCAGCTGTGGCTAGTATAGGATTTGACCGTGCTTTTTTTTATTTTTTTATAAATAACTTTATTTTTATTTTTTGTAAGGTTTCTATAATGGGCTTTTCCTGTGGTTTTTTTTCCTATCTTCCAGGTTCTTTTTTCATACCCTGGTATATGCATTTATAATGATAGAATCCCTATGCATTCTATAATTTCAATTAAACTCTTTCTTTTCTTTAAAGTTTGAATTTAATTAAAAATTAAATTTAAAAATAAATAATTATCATTATTTTAAAGATAAAGATTATCTTAAAAATAAAAATTATCTTGAAAATAAAAATAGAATGACAAAAGTAAATTATAGTTCTTAATTTTCATGCAAGTTGACAAATCATATTTTTCATCAAAATAAATCTCTAATCTTTTAATTTTATATTTTAAACCCTGTAAAAATTAAATTAAAAACCAATGAGCCAAAATTAAATTACAACAATGGCTAGGCCATATCTTATGATAGCTAAATAAGAGTCTAGAATACTTACTATGTGCACATGCATCGTATTGACACAAACGCTCTGACCATTAATGTTGTAAACCCCTAAACACATTATTTTGCCCAAACTTCTTTAAATAGTACAATATTTATCTATGAGTGTTGGGTGTAACTCGCTACCGTGGAGCTGTAAATGAGGGTGTTGTTGCAAATACCGAGACTTGTAGAGGTGATAAAATCTGATTCGGCTCTCAAGTTACCAATGTAATTTGGATGAAAAATTACATTTACTTAATAAGTTGTTAAAAGTTTGGTTGAATAGAAATGTTTGTTATGGTAAGGAGGTTTGTTACACATTTTATTCTATGAATGTCTTGATTGTATGTCATTGATGATAATTAAAGATGTTAATAAAGTAATTATAAAAGAACAATTAATGGATCTTATTGAATTTCTCATAGACAACACCAATTAATAATGATCCAAAATTCTATATGCTCAAGATTGAGGTTATTTGGTGTTTGGATAGCAATGTTTAGAAGCTCTCTTTCGCTTAAGCCAGTAGCAGCAGAAGAGCTCTAGCAACTCCTGCAACTCCAGCAAATTACAAACTCTAATAAGCAACCTTTTCGCGTCATCGCGCTAGTAAGTCCAGCATCAACCGACTCCTCAATCATGAGAAGTTTCTTCTCCACCATGATAGCCAGTTGAATCGTCAACCATGAGCACCATCTCCCTAAGCCTTGTCTCCAGTCGCAACCTCTCCAAGTAAGGTTATCTTTTCCTATTTCAATAAGTTAATTTCCTTGTTACTATTGCATGCATGCAACAATAGCCAAACCAGGTCACTATATTGGGTAGTGATCCGATTGGGTTGAGCCGGACCCAACCCCAAAAAAAATAAAAAACAAATAAAAAACAAATAAGAAAATATATGTATGCAATAAAAACATATTTATTTTATTGATTTATTCATTGACGTCAAAGTCAGAAATAAAAATACTGAATTAAATTTATTTTATTTATCAGCTACATAATAATTACCAATGCCAAAGTTGAAAGTAATCCATAATTGAATATTCATTGACGCCAGAGTTAGGAATATTACAAGCAACAGCAATGCAAACCATCATAGCATACACGAACCAACCTTTTGCAGTTTAAGACAAAACCAGCAATGCAGCTTACCTTAGGTAGAATACTTAAGGGGTGATAGTATCTTCCCTTTCGCATAACTAGTCTCGTACCATATAATCTTTGTTAACCAGTTAGGGTTCCTAATGACCATAATACTAGGTGGTGACTCTTTGATTAAAATCGTTTCCCCTAAAGAATAAAATGCTAGATTTCTGTTCTTTTTTTCCATTATCCAAATAATTTTTTAACAAGTTGCTGCAATGTCTGGGTGTGATAGCCATGATCTCGTTGGTTAACATAAAATTCCCAAGTTCCCTAGAATTCTATAAATATAGGAGTGGAAGGCAGCCTACAAAGAAATATATGAATCAAAATGTCTACACCCCAATCAAATTCAAGATCATCTAGTGTTGTGTACTCGTGTCATTTTAGTCGATAATTCTTCTAAGATGGCAGCATTGAATTTTCATTATGTTACCCATGCTCCACTAGCTTATTCATATCCATCATGGTTTCTAGTCACCTCTGGTTTTTCTTAACCATGTTAAATGGCATACAACTAAGTTAGCAGCAACATATTCAGCTTCATAGCTTGATAACAGTACTATCGATTGCTTCTTGAATGACCATATGAAAGATGTATCTCCCATGAAAAAGAAAAATCTTGTTGTGCTTTTCTTTTCATCCAGATCTCTACCTCAATCACTATCTAAGTAGCCAACAAGATTGAAGTTTTTACTTGAGGTATAAAACATACCTTTATTTATTGTTCCTTTGATGTAATGAAGAATTTTTTTGGCTGCATTCAAGTGAAATTGGTCTAGTGTCTCCATATATTTGCTGATAAGTCCTACTCCGTAGAGTATATCCAGTTTAGTACATGTCAAGTACCTTAAGCTTTCTACTAAGCTTTTGAAGTAAGTTGGATCAACAGTTCTAACTTTACTCTTCCTCAATTCTACTACATTCTCAATTGGAGTTGATACCGGATTGCAGCTTTCCATCTTGAACCTTTCAAGAATATTTTTGGCATAACCGCTTTAGGATACCAAAATCCCTTCTACTTTTTACGTTATTTCTAACCCAAGAAAATATATCATTAGACTAATGTCTATCATTTCAAACTCTTGTACCATGCTTTTCTTGAAGTCTTCAAATATGGTAGGATTGTTGCTAGTGAATATCAAGTTATCAACTTATAGGCACACAAATAATATGTTACCATCTGCCTCTTTCTTCACATATATTACATGTTCATATGAAAATTTTTCAAATCCATTATCTTGAAATACTTGTCAATTCTAGTATTCCAAACACGCGAAGCTTGCTTCAAACCGTAGAGGGCTTTCTTCAACTTGTATACTTTGCCTTCATTTCTAGCTTTAATGTATCCAAATAATTGTTCAACATAGATCTCTTCTTCTTAGAAGCCATTCAGAAACACTGACTTCACATCGAGTTGATAGATCTTCCATCTATGTTCTACAGCTAGTGAGATCATCAGTCTGATTATCTCTAGCTAGGCTACTAGAGCAAATACTTCTTCATAATCAATGTCTTTTCTCTATTTGTAGCCTTTTGTCACTAATCTTGCTTTGTATCTTTGTAGTTCTCCTTTTGTATTTTTCTTTATCTTATAGACCCTTTGACATATATTACTTTCTTGTTTTCTGGTAGATTAGTCAGCTTCAAGATATCATTCTTCTCAATCCATTGCTTTTATCCACTTCTTTTCTGTGACAGCTTCATTAAAGCTAAGTGGGTCAATATCAGTAAAGAAATAAAATAGAGTTATATCTTTTATAACTTGAATGACATCGTACAATTCTTCTAGATTTCTCATTTTTATTGGATCTTTTGATGAGGATGTTGATGTTGATGATGGTCCTGGTGTTGATATTCTTCTTCTATTAAACACATAAAATCTGTGTACTGAACTTTGCGGCCTATCTACTGATAATATTACATCTTTTATAGGTATTGTTAGTACCTCTACTTTATCTTCAAGGATCAAATCAATACTGATCCATTTTACTTCTTCTTGATCATCATTCCACTACTAAGATTTTTCTTCTTCAAAGATAGCATCTCTACTTATGATCACCTTCTTTGTGATGGGATTATATAGCTTATATCTCATCCTTTCATCACCATATCTGAAAAATATGCATTTCTCGCTTTTATCATCAAGTTTGGTTCTTCTTGCATCTGGGATCTTTATATATACCACATAACCAAAGACTCAAAGATAAGTAACACTTGGTTTGTGACCACTCTATGCTTTTTCTAGAGTGACAGCTTACAAACTTTTAGTTAGGTAGCGATTTAGTAAATACACTACACATGATATAACTTCATCCCAGTATTATTTAGGTAGCTTCTTTACTTTAAATAGACTTCTTACCATGTCAAGAATCGTTTGATTCTTTCTCTCAGCTACACCATTCAGCTGTGGTGTATAAGTTGGTGTTATCTGATGCCTGATGCCTTGTTGTGTATAAAAAGTATCAAAGTCATTTGCTGTATGTTCTCCACCTTGATCATATCTCACAGTTCTGATCTTATAGTTATTTTACTTCTCAACAATTACTTTAAAATCTTTATAACAATTCAACACTTCTGATTTCCTCTTCAAAAAAATATATCCATGTCTTTCTACTAAAATCATCAATAAAAGTAAGGAAGTTCCTATTTTGTCCAGTTAACATTGGTTTTATGGGACCACACACGTCTGTATGCACTAATTCCAATAGCTTATTTGCTTTCCAGTTGACTTCTTTGGCAAAACTGGATCTGTGATGTTTACTGAGGACACGACTCTCACGAACTTCATCTAGATGATCAATGTAGGGCTTAACTTTGACCATCTTCTTGCTTGCTAGCATTTTCAAACTTGTGAAATTCAGATATCCAAGCTTTAGGTGCTAAAGTCACTCTTCATCATTGGTGATGGCATTCAAACATGTTACTGCAGCATATTAAATGTTTATAGGAAACATCCTATTCTTGGACATCTTCACATAGGCAATTAATTAATCTTCCATTATAATCTTCAATTATTATATTATAGTTCTTCATAAGAAGAGTGTAACCTTTCTCTAGAAGTTGGCCTATACTTAGCAAGTTATGCTTAATGGTTAGAATATAATAAACATCTATGATGTAACTATGATTGTCATTCTTTAAATGGATTGAGATCTTGCCTCTTTCTTTCACTAGAACTTTTAAGTTGTCTCCAAAAGTGACTTGACCTTTTACAATTTCATCTAGATCTTCAAATTGATCTCATTGACCACTTATATGATTGCTAGCTCCAGAATCCAAATACCATGTATTCTTCTGATTCTCACCTAGTCCTTGTTGGACTAATAATACAGTTGCTCCTCTGATGATGTCATCCTCCTCTGCATAGTTGGCTTGTTCACGTACCTCTACTGTAGCTTTCTTTTGATATTCAATGTTATAGTGCCCAAATTGATTGTAGCTATAATACTGGATATTTCTCTTGTCACGGTTATTGTAACCGCCTCCTCTTTCTCTAGGAGTAAATGCTTGTTGTCCCCGGCATCTTCTGGTGGTGTTTCTACCACCTTTTCCTCTGAATTCTGTATTCCAAGATCCACTTCCTTGAAATTACTAAAACCCTCCTTGTTGTTGTCGATTGCTTTCTTGAGTGGTATATCCACTTGTTGAAATTTATCTGCCCTCCTTGAGAGACAACTTTGATTGTAAGGTATGCTCAATTGCCTTATCTCCATTTTTTTCACAATCTTTTGCTCATAAACTTACAAAGAACTCAGAAGCTCATCCATTGTCAACTTGTCCACTTCTTTGGATTAGCTACAATAACAAAATCAAATTTTAGATCTAGGGATCTCAAAATGTTTTCAGTAATTCAAGCATCTGAGAGGACTTCTTAATTTCTTTTCATCTGATTGACTATCACCATAATTCTTGTGTGATAATCAAAAATAGATTCTGATGACTTCATTTACACTGATTCAAATTCAACTCGTAAAGATTGAAGATGAATCTTTTTTATTCTATCAGCACCTTTGTATTTTTGTTGGAGAGCCTCCCATATTTTTTTTTATGTTTCTGCGAAACCAATGATCTCAAATATGGCTTCATCAAGAACTTGATAAAATAATGGTCTTTGTATTATTGTCTTTCTTTCTATTGGCTCTTAAAAGTTGTTTTTGTGCCTCTTATAATGAATCTTCTACTTCTTTGGACCCTAGTTCATTATAACAATATTCCACAATCTCTATACACTCTTGTGAACCAAGAAATGTCTTTAATCTGATACACCAATTATCATAACTGTCTTTGGTCAACTTCGGGATGAGTGTTTGTGTATTTTATATAGTCATTGTGCTCTTTGAATGACTATATCACCTTCTAGGAGTTGAATTTGGCTCAAATATGGCGCGTGTGTCACTCAGTCGACTTCTTCCTCTCAGCAAGTCAGCTGTACATGAGCTAGAATGACAAAGTTTCAAGTAGAGCGTGTAGTCTACCTCCTGCTCCGATAAAGCTGATTTTTACACTAATGAGTTCATATGGATGAACCCTACACGGTGAAACTTTGAAAAATTAGATGTATCCCAACAACGCTTCTATTTTCTAACGAATGGGGCTCTGATAGCAATTGTTAGTGGGAGAAACCACTGATGATGGCTTTGAAACACTTAGAGAGGATAAAACATACTGTTTTTATTTCAACAACAAGAAGCTTACAAAATAAACAAAAAACTCTTAATACACACCCTCTCTTTCTCTCTAATGTTTCTCTTTTATCTTTCTTACTCACAATAGCATATACTTAGCTGTTTATTTATATACAAACTGAAAGTAAAAAAATTCAAAATTCAAATATAAAGATAGCTAGCGGTTGGTGGCATATAGCTAGTGGGAGGCTATAAGTGGTGGGTGGTTGATAACTGGTGACGGTAAGTAATAGTTAGTTGGTTGACTCTCTAGAGAGAGAGAGAGAGAGAGAGAGAGAGAGAGAAATACTAAAATTGGAACTACAAAAAATTAAGGGTGACATTTCCCTCCTGATACGCAGTTTCGTTAATGATTCTCACTATAGATTCTTTAAATTCGGTGATAGCTCACAATCTTCTTGGTTATGCGAAGTGTGATAGCCCGAACAATGTGAAAAGTCAAAGCAGAACATTTTTCATTCAATCTCTATGAATATACATTTATTTATAAGAAAGTAATTGAAAACGAAAAAATATTTGAAAATCATGGACTATTAATGCTTTGTCTCGTTTTGTTATAAAATTAACTGATTTGTCTTGCTGGTCACGATCTCTGAAACAAAAAAAAAAAAAAATAGTAGCAGTAGACAAGAATATCTAAAAGATAGACCAGATTGACAAGAAAAGATTTTTAGAATAGAAAAAGTTCAAACAGCTAGCCGTTTTCTATTACATAATATGACATCCATATCGAGAAAGGATTTAAAATAATATATGAAACAAGATATGTTTTGGAAATTGTACAAGATTTTATGGATTTTAAAATAATATAGTTGTACATTTAATTATGATTTGACTATCTCCATCAATTCAATAAATTGGGCAGCGTGGAGGCATTGTTGATCAGTAAAGTCAGCAATGGCGATTAGAGGTCCTTTGCTAGTTTTGTTCCTGGCATTAATTTGCTTGGTAGCAACCACCCATGGTGCAAAGCCAAGCCCTCTTGTGCCATTTAGCCGAAGCAGTTTCCCACCTGGTTTTTTGTTCGGAGCTGGATCTGCTGCTTATCAGGTTTAAGTCCATTAATTTTTTTCGCACAAGAATTTTCCCTGAATAACTATTAGTGTTATGAAAAAAAAAAATCTTCTATCAGGCCTTACAAAAAATAAATAGAGTGAAACTAGAAAACATGAACAAATTTTGTAGTTAACTCCATTTTGAATGTTCATAATTATTTTCTTTAATTTACACAGATTGAAGGAGCAGCACTGATTGACGGAAGGGGATTTAGCATATGGGATAAATTCACGAGGGAACATCCAGGTTTGTGACTGTAATGTTAATGGATGGTGATCCTTTTCTCGTATATAATAATGTAGTTCAAATATTCTTCTTCTTCATGTTATTCATTTTTATTCTTTGTTTTATGTATAGTTGATAACAATGCAGTTCAAATGTTCAAATATTTATTTATTTTTTCAAATCTTTGTTCAAGGTTAAAAATAAATAAATAAAACTTTATTTGACTGCAGTTAGATTTGTTTATTTATTCATTTATTCATTATATGTCCTATCGAGATATATAAATAATTTTAAGCTTGGTAAATTCCTTCTCCTACAATGTAGAAGTGTGTGTATATATAGCCTCTATTTTTATTTTTATTTTCTTATTGTTAACTGTTTATATTCATGAAGCATGTTTGAAGAAAATAAATAAATAGCATTTGAGGTGGTAGCCTATCAAATAAAAGGACTAGATCTTTTTTTTTATGTTTAGATTTGATTTTTTTTATGTATATCTAATTATCTTTGCAGTGTCTTATCTGTTTATTAAATTTATAAAATATTTAATATATTTAAAAATTAATTATGATATATATAAATTGACTTAAACATCATGGGTTATAAATAAATAAACAAATAAATATATTATTTTTTTATTATTTAAATACTCGGATCTTGTGACCCAAAATCTTTAGATCAAGTGCTGATTTATAATTTTTTATCCCCCTTCTGTTCTACAGGCATTCTTTACTCTTTTTCTTTTATCTATTTTTTCTCCATTTTGTCTATATACTATTTAAACAATTTGTTCTCATACAAAAGTAGGCTTGACCTACACCTTGTTCTTTCAGTTAACAGGCCTGAGTTTTAATGGTTGCTGTTTTTAACATTATATACATGCAACAGAGAAGGATTACTCTTTATTGTGTAGCATAAAATCCCATGAACATATCAACGAAAAAGAAAAAAAAAGAATTCTATCCAATTAAATTGCGCCTTTCCAAGCTGTTTAAAAAAACGAAATGAAACTCACCACTAAGACATTGCATATTTTTAAGATGAATGAATAAGAAAAAAATATATTAATGGACCGATATGCATCAATGTGCAGCAATATTTTTTTCTTTTTACGGTGAGGATGTGAGATCCAGCTCAGTATTGTATTTTCAAACCCAAAAATTGTTCAGTCGTACACCAGGCCCCTTTTCCGAGTTTGTTGCGTTACAGATAATAATAATAGATTTGGCACCAATCCATAAAAAATAAAGGATGTTTTAGATCTCAATTGAGAAACCTTTTCTCATCCTTTTTCATTTACAAAATTAAGATAAGAGTTTTAGTAGAGGGATAGATTTGTTGTTTTCCATAAAATTTGTGGTAATATTTACTTTTCAAAATATTTTAAAAAAAAATACATGAAATTTTTTTTTTCATTTTAAAAAATATTTTTAAAATATAAAAATAAATAAACTTTTAATCTGTTTAGAAAAGTGGTGAAGCTTCATTTATTTAGGGTTAAGACAGAATTTACAAAAGACTGGGTCGAAATGAGTGAAACCGAAGGGAAATCTAGTTGGTATGTTAGTTGATTTAAAAACTGATATTGTTTCCAAAAATAGAAAAAGTTGCAGCTTGTTAGGATTATTTTTTTTAATTCACTAATCTGACTAATAAGTTATTGGTTTTAAAATAACAGTTTTTTATTTTTTTAAAATTATTTTTAATATCAATGTATTAAAATAATTTAAAACACCTAAAAACTATTAATTTAAAGTAAAAAAATTATTTTTTAAATTATTTTTAAAACATAAAATCACTATTTTAAAAAATGGTGAAGCGTATTTTGTTTAGTGTTAAGACAGAATTTACAAAAGACCGGGTTCAAATTGGCTAAACCTAGTTAGTATGTTAGTTTGAGTAAAAAACAGATATTGTTTCCAAAAATAGAAAAAATATATAGCTTGTTAGGATTTTTTTTTTTTAATCGAGTAATCCGACTAATAAGTCATTGGTTTTAATATAATATTACTGTTATTATCTATGTTCTTAATAATTCTATGGTTGATTGACAGAAAAGATTTGGGATCGCAGCAATGGAGATGTAGCAATTGATTTTTATCACAAGTTCAAGGTGTTCCCGGCCGCTCTTTATATTAAACAACAAATTGCTATATTCTTTGCTTAATCTTAACCAAATTTGATTGAAATGTTGCAGGATGACATAAAATTGATGAAACGTGTTGGTTTGGATACCTTCAGGCTTTCCTTTTCTTGGAGCAGAATATTGCCGAGTAAGATTTCCAAGTCTCTTTTCCCTATTAATTTCATTCTCCTCTTCATGAGTGAAATCTAATATTATATGTATCACTTCTGTTTTCAGAGGGAAAAGTTAGTCGAGGAGTTAACCCACTGGGTGTTAAGTTCTACAACAACGTCATCAACGAGCTTCTTCACAATAGTCAAATTCCCATCTATATTGTTTTTCTAATTGTCACTATAAAATCAGTGTGTGTGTGTGTATTTTTATTTACTTTTTGCTAATATGAGCAGGTATAAAACCCCTTGTGACGTTACTCCATTATGATCCCCCACAAAGTCTCTTTGATGAGTACGGTGGATTCCTAAGCTCCAAGATAGTGTACGTATATTGTTAGATCCATATATTAGTGAAATATCTTGCATCATTCAATGGTGAAAGAAATAATGTGTCTATATAAATAAATGAACTCATAACTGATCAATAATCTAGAATTTTTAGTTAAAAATAGTTTTTATCAAAAATTTTAAACTCTAGTGTATGCAGATCTCAAGATAGTTTTTTTTTTTTTTGTAGAAAAAGACATTATTAAATAGATACGACTTCCTACATTTTTTTTTTAATAGTCGAGGATTTAATATTAATTGTTGATAGTGCCATAAAGCTAATTAATGATAAACTAGCACGAAAAACAAAAAATTATATATACAAAATTAAAAAAAAAAGTAAATAAAACATTGCTATAATACATGGAAAGATCTTATATCAAAACTAACCAGAGTTTATTTATTAGACCAATGGTAGTTTTCATCAATTGTCTTTTAAGTCATAACACCAAACACACCAAAAAATAAGAAATCAAATCAAATATTGTATCTCAATCAATAATCTCTTCCTTCAAAGCAACTTTGTTTCTAGCCAACCTTGCATTGTGCTGGAATTTTTTTTAACAATGAATACTCATTCAAACAACAATTCATATATGATGTTCGATATACACACTATAAGTTCAACTATTTTACAAAATAGTTACACAATTTTCAAACAATTTAACAATTAGAAAAGGATGGGTAACCGTTTCCATGTCTTTACCACAAAAAAGACAAAGCAAAGATGATTTTTAACAGAGAATGAATGCCTACAAAAACGACTTCCCTAAAGTTATTACTAACTTCCAAATTTTTTAAGCAGAGATGATTTTGCAGAGTATGCAGACTTTTGCTTCAAAACATTTGGTGATCGAGTGAAATATTGGATAACGATGAACGAACCAAATGGGCTGGCTATTAATGGTTACACTTTCGGTTCCTTTGCACCCGGTCGATGTTCTAAAACTCTTGGAAACTGCCCTGGGGGCAACTCTGCCGTCGAGCCCTATGTTGCTGCCCACAACATGATTCTTAGCCATGGAGCTGCCGTTAAAGTATTCAAGGACAAGTACCAGGTTTGTATCCTTCAAGATTATTGAACTAAGCTTTATCTTTTACCATTTAAAAACTATTAGAGCATATAGTACTCAAAGTTTGAATGAGCTTGCTTGGATTTTGTGCAGGCTATTCAACTGGGACAAATTGGAATTACGATTGTAAGCCATTGGTTTGTACCAAAATTTAATACAACTGCTGACCGCATTGCTGTTTCCAGAGCTTTAGATTTCATGTTTGGATGGTAATTTAATACTTAACGATTCAGTAGTATTTCGAATTATTTTCTTTAATGATAACTGATTAATTAGTGCCTAACACATCATATTATTGATATTGATCAATTTCTTTTTTATCCTTTATAGGTTTGCACATCCGATTACATTTGGTGATTACCCCGATAGCATGAGATCTTTGGTTGGAAATCGACTGCCCAAATTTACCAAAGAACAGTCTGCAATGCTAAAAGGATCCCTCGATTTTCTTGGCTTAAACTACTATACAGCAAATTATGCAGAAAGCATTCCTTTGAAAGCTACCGGGGCTAACCGTAGTTATACTGACGATAGGCGAGTCAGTCAAACTAGTATGCTCAATTTTCTGTGCCTTGTTTTAATTAGGGTTTGTTTGACGAAATATATATATATTAATTTTTCTCATAAATATATATTTGTCATCACAGCTGAGAAAAATGGAGTTCCCATCGGCACACCGGTACAGTTTTTTATGTGTTATTTTTTTTTTACATTTCCGAATATATAGAGATTAAGGCTAAAGGATTTTGAATTATTCACTGCCTTACAGAATCTAATTAATAAGAAGATTAATTATAGTGTAAATGGTTTGCTGCAGACTGACTTGAACTGGCTTTACGTCTACCCGAGGGGAATACAAGATGTTCTGCTGTACATCAAAGATAATTACAAAAATCCACCAGTTCTTATCACTGAAAATGGCAAGACAGCTGCTATTTTATTTTTTATTTTTCAATAATTTAAACTAGCTAACATGGTTTTGTCAACGACTGATTAATGTGTTCTTCTTGGCAGGAATTGCTGAAAATGCGTCGCGACCGATTGCCTTTGCCCTCAAGGATAGTTGGAGAATAAGATACCACAGTGCCCACCTATCATATCTTTTGAAAGCTATCCAGTTAGTATTCCAACATCTTAATTTTAATTATCATGTACATTAATAATTCCTGGAACGTCATTTTTAGGCAAAAGATACTTAAAAATTTCCGAATTATGGACCTTTTAATTTACACTTTTTCTATTTTTTTTTTTGTAGTATAAAAACTATTGGATATATCTGGATTAAGATGGATGTTAAGCTATTGGTTGAACATTGGCGTGCAGGAAGGGGGCTAATGTGAAGGCATATTATATATGGTCATTTTTGGACGACTTCGAATGGGATGCTGGCTACACTGTTCGCTTCGGTGTGACTTATGTTGATTTCAAGAATAATTTGAAACGATATCTGAAACGTTCAGCTAGATGGTTCCAGCTCTTGCTTAGAAAGTAAAACTTTAATTAATTGGCTGTCTAGATCATGTGTGTGAGTGAGCAACATGGGGAGATCAGAATAATCAACCGTGAATTCGTTCCATTCAATAAGGTTTTCTGTATTGTATTCCGTCAAGAAATTAAAAATAAATTCTTGTTTTTTTGTATGCAGAATCAAATCAGTAAATTACTTCTCCTTTTATTCTTATAGTATTTAATTAGAAAACAATACTATAGGATAAGCTAGTTTAAAAAAAACAAAAAACAAAGACTATAGGATAAGCAAGTAGGAAAACTAAATTTTCATATTCAAATCTTGCACAAAAGCAAAATCAAAAGAGAGAGACGAACAGTATATTGAAGGGCTTGCAGACTCGGTCCAACAATATTGTGAGCTTGTGGGTGCAGACTTTAGCACCGTTGCATAGAACCATAAAAACTGGGCTTAAGCCAGAGAAGGACGGTAACGCCCACTTGAATTTTACATGTGAATAATAACTTTAAGAAATTATCTCGAATTTAAATTATGGATATGATCTATGAATAATTTTTATATTAATTTTTATTACATCTTTTAAATTAAAAAAATTGAACTTAAATCCTATATAAAGCCACGATTATCATATATAGAAAAAAACAAAAATAGTAAAATTTGAACTCAAAATAATCTGTTAATTATTAAAATTCTGATATTATATAAAGAAATATTTCAAATCAAAATATAAAGCATTAACTTAGAGAACACAGGTTTCCTGTCGATAAAGCTAGATTGAGGGGTGGAAAAGAGCAATAGAGAACCAGATGAATTCTTCCTCGTTGAAAAGTGCGATCACATATTATAGGTGATGATAAACATGGAACTCAAACTCCAAACATCACATCCCATTTCACTTTTGTAAGAGTAACATTAATCTACTGGCATGGAAGAAAGGAAAATAAAATAAAGGATGAGCGATAATTTAGAACAGTTAAATATATCAAGAAACATGGGATGAGAAATGAAATGAAGGAATCCGATAACTGTGAAGCCAACCACCTTAGTTAAAAATGGTGGGAGAAGGTGTAGTCATCCTTTTACACCTTAGTCAAAAATGATGGGAAAAGGTATAGCCATCTTAGTCAAAAATTGTATGCACCAAATTGGTGTTATTTGCCTAACCCCTTGTCTTTTGCATGGATGCTTGCCTATAAATAGGCAATGCATCCAAGCATTATAAACACACCACAAGAGAGAAAGAAGAGAGGGTGAGAAGAGAGTAATCCCACAAAATTATGAGGTATTTGTGAGATAGTAAGTGAGGTGTTTTCTCCTAATAATAGAGAGATTTTTGTTGTTCTCCTATTATTAGAGAGAAGTTGTATTCCCACATTACTTAGTAAAATCCTTCTATACTTGCCCGTGGACGTAGCCCAATTGGGTGAACCACGTAAATTCTTGTGTGTCATTTCTCATTTTATTTTGTCCCTTACCTTTGTCTTGTCGGGTTTGCATGTCAGCATCCTAACAAGAACAATATCAAGTTCACATTGGTATGGCATGGGATGCATGCATCATAACATGTCTTAACTAAGTTTAATATCCGAAGAAGAGCTGATTTAATAGATATTTATTGAAAATAGATTGCTGAAATTGGACATGTATTGATTTATCATGAATAATGATTTTCAAACAATTGTGACAATTAATTTTGCATATTAAATCATGTAGAGTCGATCGTCGATGGGAGCAATGGAGATGTAGCAATTGATTTTATTAAATTCTATAAGGTAATTAAGGTATTGTTCATGCTCTTATGCTTCTCATAAATTACGCTCCCAGCTGCTATATGACCAACATATGCCCCGATAATAAGGCAGGAAGACGTTGCAAGAATGAAGCATATGGATGTGGATGCTTACAGATTTTCCGTATACTGGCCTAGATTGGTACCACGTATGTTCTTCTATTCAAAGTCCCATCGTATATATGCATTTGCAAAATTTAACTCGATTTGTTATCAATCTGCTAAAACATAGATGGAAAAGTACGAGCTGGAGTGAACCAAGAAGGAATCAAATATTACAATGATCTCATTAATCAAATTAAAGCAGGAGGTTAGTGTTATTTCCTTTCTCTAACTTGATTCAAAATGTAATGGTCAGGTCTCAAATTGCTCAATAAAAAGTTTAGTGATTCAAACCTCTCCTTTCAATCAATGTGGTTATGATTTTTCTTCAATTCCTATCGATTTTATTGCACCTTCACCTGCATGTCCTACCTACTGGGCCTAAGACAATAAAACAAAGGCAAATGCCTCTCTTGCTCAACATTCTAGTTGTCTGTAATCTTTGTTTCTACTACTACAAAGGACTCTCGGCTGCAGGCTTCTTCTATTTTTGAACCGAAAACTTTCAAGGAGGCTAATAGATTCTATTGTTAGAGATCAATCCAGATGGATACAAGATATTCTTGTTGCAAGTCAACAATATCATTAAATCGCACCAGCAGCCTTGGCCTCAACTTTGTCAACTTCATCATGCTAACTTTATCTTCACGACCTATTTTAGTTGGATTTGAAGCTGAGCACTAAATTTCAACTAATTTAGTCTTGATTTGTTATTTCATGATTTAGCAAGCTTTTAGACATTTGAAGTATGTATATGCTATGAAAGTATTGTTGATGGTTCAATAAAGATATACCATTATGGATGCATAGAGAGATGCAACGAGAATTATGATATAATTGTTGATGATACAGAGAACGCAAACATTTATTTTATAAAGCTAGATGTTTTATGAAACTCAGGAGGATACATGGGCAAGATTTTTGTTTTTTGAGAAGCTGTTAGCTACTACTACAATCCTTAAGGATACTACCAAAGTGATTTTTCTTGCATTGAAGAGACAATGGCATGGTTTTGGTTTTGGTTTTGGTTTTTTCAGCCTTCTTGTGTTTATTGGTTATAAGTCAGCTAGTTCTCTATCTTCTGCAGATCCTTGATCTCTGCATATTTATTATGGTTCTCTTGCATGGCTATTATTGAGTGTTTTCATCCATTTTACTGTCTATAAAAAAATTACACAGACGATTAAAATATCTGGTCTTTTAAAATTAATTTCTAATATTATACAAGTATGAATTTGTTTTCTTGTTTTAACATATAGGTTTGTAACCCTTTGTGACTCTATTTCATGGGGATATTTATAAGTACAAAATATATTTTTTTTTTTTTTCATTATATTTTTTATATATTTTTGAGCTTATTGGAAGTTATTTTTATGAGTTTGACATATTTCAAAAACTTTGTTAATTGATTGCTAAAAGATAAGAATTTTTGTATTTTATATTTCAAACCTTACTTCTTATGACAAGTTTTTCACCAAGTTATAATTTCAGAATGTGAATGTGGGCTAAATAAAAATTAAAGTATACATATCAAACTTTTAAAAATCAAAGTTAGACCTGTAAAACCAAGCTAAAATTTTACTTACAACAGGATTCATTGCTTTTAAACTATAAATTCAAATGAACATATCTTGATCCTCAAATATTAAAATCATGTGATTCAAAAGCCCAAAATCATTGACACATACAAGATTATAACTTTTATAAAAATGTCAAGTCAGATAAAATCATTTTTTAAGATAAAAGGTTGGATGTAAAATGAAGGACGAGATTAGTCTCTTGATTTAATGAGAAAATTAACAATGTCGAGCATCCCACTACAACTAAGAGTTTGACATATAAATGGTGAATCTTAGAACCCAAGAAAGATGCAAATCAAGCCTAAACATTCCATGAATGAAACAATACAGCTGGAATGACTAGATATTATAGAAAACCAAGTCAGAAACAAAGTCTAAGTTACAACAAGTTGTAACAACAACAACATCAGTTTTCAACATAAATTTTAAGGGATTTAACCAACCTTAATGACTAAATAATGAAGAAAGAATTAAGTAACATAAGGAATTTTAATTAAGAGAAGAATCATAATAAAAAACAGCAGCCGAGAGAGGAAATAAAGGAAGCAAATCATAACAAAAACAACTCTATTCTTCTTTTCTACAACATTTTTTTCTATCTATTTTTGTTAGTTTTCCAGCATTTATGAACTAAACTTTGACTTTTGGTTAAAGGACAATAGACACCATCTCCATTATTAAGTTGTGAGAAATAATATTATCATTGTAGTTCTTTCATATTCAAATACTTATTTATTCTTATTTCAGAATTATGCTATTAATTTCTATTCATACTTATTGAATTGTTTTAAGATAATATAAATGTGCTTTCTTTGTTTTTTCAATCTGTAATTATTGTTAGAGACTATAATAAGAAGTAAAGAAATTAACTTGATTATTACAACTATCATTTTAATTTATTATGGAGGAATAAGCTAAGATAAATTGCTCAAGCTTTTAAATGGTTACTTAAAATAAATTCTACATACTTTGCTTCTAAAGCCATTGTCGAGTGAATTAAAATTGATTTTCAATATTAAATTCACTTGATGGTAAAAAATTAATCAGATAATTTAATCTAATTAATTTACTCATAATATTCTCGATTTCTTTTAGGTTTAAGGAACATTGAATTTATTTGTTTGAATTGAAATGATATTTATTTTACTTTAATAATCAACATATTTATTGAAATGGATATGTAGACCTTTAAATTGAGACAATGACATCTGAATTTATTATTTTTATTTTTAAAATTTTATTTTTTTAGTTTTGTTATTTAAATCTCCCGTTCTTTTTTAGTTCAATATATTATAGGAAGATTAAATAAATTTTCCACTAGGTTCAATCTTGTTTTTATTATCATACTATGAATTTATTTTGTTTATAATAATAAAGTCAGAATTATATTTTAAAAGTTTCGACAACGGACCAAATTTTAGTGTTGTTGCCAAAAAAGTTTTTATCTAATTTTCCTTCAATAGTAAACTTATTTATGTAAGATCTTCCCATACAGGTGCATTAGTATTTAATCCTGAGATTGACAGAACAACTAAGGCAAATAAGAAGACCAAAAGACAATAAAATAACCCGCTAAGCTCATCCAATCTGAGTGTGAATTTCAAAAATAAAAAACTAGAAAAGAAAATGCTAAAAACAAAAAAACATGGCAAACAAAGAACATTAAGGGAGCTATCAACTTCCAATATGAACTAGCAGTCTTTATGCATTAAAT